CAAAGCAAACACTTAAGAAAACATGATGCATCCATTGTCCTTATAAACCAGTAATAATTATTACACTGTAGAGTTACTCTGATAATGTTCTGCAATTTCAAATCTCAGAAACATTCAAGGACCACTGGAGTAATTCCCCAGAAATGTAAAAACATGAACAAGTCTTCCAGGCAAATGGGTGTCTGTTCTGATATGTCTACATAGTCTCCTGTAGCATTCCTAGGGAGCTGATTTCAGCTGATATTGAGATAATATGTTTATCAACATCCTCCTGAATGTTGCAGATTTTATGCAATACATGAGCATCTGAAATCCTGCTGAGCGTAACCTCTGCTACAGTACTGTGCTATGCTTCACTTTTCAACAGGTCCCATATTTTAGAATTTTCTAAGCATGTGTCATCAGGATACATCCACTCTGGCTTTGGTTTTCATATGCATTCTTCTGCAATCCAAAAGATTGGGGAAAATAGTTGGAACAGTATCACATTATTTAGCCAGGTGCTTATAAATCTGTTCCAAGAGCTGGAAAAAATTCTGAGCATGCTGAGCATAAACTCAGTAGAAGAAACTATGTAATTACTGAGCAAAACTTTAAGGAAATAATATGGTGAGATCTAGACTTAGGAAAATCAAAATGAATATACTCTTCAGCTCAGATACAGCATATACTTTGGACAAAGTCTTCACTTAAAATTCTACGTTCTATCTGCATTCTTATACTAACAAAAGATAAGATTCTGATATATTTTTCCTCTATATTCATATATTCGCAATGTAATATCAGATTTGAGTTTCTGAAACTTTCCTTTATCATCTTCTTGCATACATAAATCCAGTACAGAATCCCACACCTTTGCTAGTGGCAACCCTATTGCCAGAAACTGTGCTCTTCATGGATGGATGCCAGAAAGCCTAACCCACATTCCAACTGTCTATTTTTTAATTTTACATGTATACATATTACATTCCCAGATTCTTCCAAACACACTGCTAGCATATCAGAAAGTAATTAAGCAAATGTTGAAACGATGTAAACTTAAAATCATTAATAATTTTTATTAATTTGTTTCCTAATTGCAGTTTAAAATACATCAACTGTTATGTGAAAAGATACATACTTCCAAAGATAATCAATTATATTCAAATAAACTCTAAATTAACACCTGAGTGTTAAACAATGAATGTAAGAGATGAAAACTTGCTTTGATACCAAATACATAACCTATGTAAATAAACTTCATTAAATATTAGCAGTAATTAAAAAACTCAACAACTGGATTAGGCAGCCCTCTATACACAGTTGTACTCATGCCTGGCTTTTTCACTTGGTAAGGCATTGTCCAAATGGGATTCAGATTGACTGTGCTCTTTCCAAAACTGAAAATTTTTCTTTTAAATTTTCCTTCTTTCCTACTCTATCTATGAATGCTATATGATACAGCTGATCAATTCACTGAAGAACTTTTACTCTTGCTCTGTCAGAAATCTATACACAGCTGATAATTGATGTTTACCAAATTCCAGGATGGAAGTACAGCTTACTGTTTGCTAAAACAGTTATCACATAACTTCTTACTTAATCTTAGTTATTTATTCATTGTTTGAAAGAATACTGCCTTGCAAATCCTATGCCTACAGGCAATTAATACACCCATGCTTAAAGTGGAGAAACAGAATGTACTGGTAGATTTAGAATCCCAGTATTTCAGTATTTCAAAAGCAAAAATATTATCAGAAGCAGTCATTTTCAGGAAAAATGAAGGTGCTGAATTTCATTAAAATTTTCAATTTGAATGAACCTCCAGCCATGCTGTGAAACAGCTTTGAGCTGGGAGTGGTCTCTCAATGTTGGGATACGGGATACTCATCTGTAAAGCACAATCATACAACTTCTCCCTCCCCTCCCCCCCGAACTCCTTAAGTATACTGTCATTGTGGAAATGTCAAAATTATTTTTTCTGAGCCTCCTGCCTTTACGGGAGAAAGGTTCAAACAGCATAAGACCACACAAAAAAACGTCAATAATCAGACCAACTTTTCACATTTTACAGTCATGTCAAACTCAAAAGTACTGAGAAGCAAAATTGAGTGATTTACTTTTTCTTCTCTGCCTATAGCAGGCCCATGCAATCTCTACTCAAAGATGGCACCGAAGTTATTAATACAATGACAAATCTAGTTGGCAGTCTTTTGTTTCAGCTCATTTTTCCCTTCAAAAAAGCCCGTATTGCATTTTAATTTCATAGCTGTGATATTTATGTCATTTGAACTTTCTTGATTTCATAATCATGTCATGAAATTTGTTTTTTCTTTATGTTTTCAGAGCCTAAAGTTGATTGTTTCCTTAGAATAGGAATTGTTTGTCTTGTTACTATTCATATTTTTAATCTTTTCTATGCAGATACTAAAAGAGTCAGAAGATATTTAAATAAGAGCAGTTGTATTTATGTCCCATGGTTTTAAGCCAATCTCATTTAGAGCTTAGTCAGGGACTGTGAACATTCAGTTTAGTGATCCTACAGCTGGAAAGGATCATCATGATCACGCAAGCTGACCAGGCCAAAGTTTTTCCCTAAACTAATTCTAGACAATGTATTATTTAAATAATAAACAAAAAGAATCTGGTCTTGATTAAGATCTTCCAGACAGAAGGAAAAAAAAACAAAACAACCCTACTCATAGACCACTGCAAATTGTTTCAATGATTAACTATCTTCATAAAAACAATAACAAAAAATATGCCTCCATAGTTCAACTGAGTCCAATTTCATTTTTTAAAATGGTGGCATCCAGATTTACATTTTATTAGAAATCAACTACTTAATCTTCTAATTATCTCTCGTCTAAGTTAAAATAACTGAGCTCTAGAAGTCTTTTGGACTAAGGCACGTTCTTCAACTCGGTGGTGAGTCCTCTGACTATCCTCCTAACACAAAGCAAAATACAAAAAAAGAAAAGCAACGAAGTTTAGAATTAGCTGACAAATACAAAACTCATTTTTCTAGGCTGATTTGAGAGTCCTGTGTTTAAAAATTCAAGGATCACACTGCTTTAAACTATAAGCTTTGGCTGTGGTTTTGCCTATTAATTACATAAAATGTAACATAACTTGGAAACAAACAACAGACATTTTCTAGAGTAATAGATATTCAGATACATACTTGTAAACCTATCAATATCTACCTCCTGTACCCTACAGCTAGGATTTGATTAAATTTTTATCATACCACTGCATTACAGAACTTGAGAAATGGACAATGAAAAATGTAAGTAGAAGCCCTCTTCTTCATAGTAAGGCCAACATTTCCAGACATCTTCAGTCTCCAAACTGGGACCATCATGTCCATACATATGGAAAACGTCAGCAAGAAACCAGATTTCAGCAGTTGGAATACGTTTAAATGATAAAAAATGTGTTTCTGCAGCTGCTTAAAGTAACGATTATGGCTGGTTTGAATTAGATGAAGTGAAAACAGGAATCATCACAGAGTTCTATCTCCCACATCTCTGAAGGCAGCCCCTATATTAGAGGCCAAAACAAGATGCAGCAAGCCCTTTGACTTTGCCCTTATCTGCAATTAATCAGCATATAAAAATGGATTCTACACATAGCATCAGCTAGTTTGCTTCTCCAGAGTATGACTGCCTACATATATATACATATATATATATATACACATAAAGGTTGCAAAGGGGTATATATATTTTTTTTTTTTTTTCCTTTTTGATTTTGTTTAGTAAGGATGTTAATACATATAAATAAAAATTCTAGAATGGATTAATTTATAGACAACCTCTATTAAGCTAATAATAGTTTTCACAACACAAACAACTTGGTAGTTTTAGAACCTTTAAACATTTTCTAAATCTAAAAATATTCCATATTAATCATTTCACAGACTTTCTAAAGCTCACTAGGAAGCTTTGTTATTGCTTTGTTATTTGGGAATCTCTACTTTAAGGCATTCTTTTGAAGACTTGCACAATTTTTGGCTTGTTTGAGATTCATAATTTAGAAGACAAACTGCCATTTTAATCACTTCTGCAAGTCCAACCTACCTAACTACTACTCATTCCATTTCTGATACACAGTGTCCTTGCAGGAATTAATAGAATTGCTAGCCTGGACTGAATTACAAGGAAAACATTTAATATATTTTTAGCTGTATTTTATCATAGTTAAAAGAAGGAAGAGGAACCAGATAATGAGATTAGGCAGCTCTCTACTGACTAATGACAAATACTCTGCAGACATGATTTAGAAACATCTGTGCTTCACTTTTTCTTTATTATTATTGTGTGCATTGCAAAAAATAGACAAGTGCTGCGTAAGTGCCGTAAAATTACATTTTGTTTCCTGATCTGAAGTGGCAAAAGGAAGATGAGCACACATGTATCTGAGTTCAATTTCTTTTCCCAATTTCAGGCCTAAGTCCATCATTCCTTAAAACCATCGAATGCAGTTTTTTGTTAGTACCATGCACTATACAGCACCTATGACAAGTAACCAAAGTAGCAGAAATTTCAGCATAGCTTATTATCCCTAAATATGAACTAAAAACTCACATCAACTATTGTATACAGTCAAATGCACACATAATTATTCCCACTTGCTTGAAAGCAAAATGCTAAAAAGATACTCTAGCTCATAGGAAAGAGAATGCAACTGGTAAGCATGGATGTAAGAACCACTCAACTGATTTGAAGAAACTGAAAAGTAATTTGTAATTAACATTCTGCCATATTGTATGGGAGAATTCATGCAAGTCTAATATACAAACTCTTGGCCATATTAAATTGCTAATGACTTTGACAGTTTTGTAAAATATTTTGTTCCGTGGCATGCTTTTAATATTCTTCTGCTAAGATTTCAGAACAACTGTAAAGCATAAAATGAACACAATACACTGCCCATTAAAAGTTTCAGTTTATAAGAAAAAAAGTTCCTAACTTATGGTTAGCCATAGGAACGATAAAATAGAACAACTCTTATCTTACCTTTATTATACATATTGGTTGGTACTTGGACGTCACTCAGACTGATATTTACAGGCAAGTTATTGAAGTGGTCATTTGGCACTAGAATGAACTCCTTTCCCAGCTCCAGATAGTTCCCTTCTTCATCTCTTTCATTTATAAGCACAGCATTGAAGTACTCATACTGCAACAGAAACCCATATTCAGTATTCTGAATTTGCAATCAATACAAAAATATAAGGAAGCTCAAATACTTTAATGTATGCATTAATCCACTGATCAATGTTTAAGCATGTCTCTATTTAGAATTGAAAACCAAGATATTTTTATTACATCTCAGAGTCTCTCTATACTCCTCATACAGGTACATTTCTGAAACCAATTAGAGATTTATCAATACATCTCACAGAAACTCCATGATTACCTTAGATCTCTGCCAGCCCAATTAACACTTTGAACATGGATGATGTATGCACTTTTTTAACACAAAGGATTCTACACTTAAATCATTTGCTGGATAGCTATCTAACTGTTCAGCTTATTTTCATCATTTCAAGAACTGCTATCAAAACAGAACCTGGGCCTTAACAGGGTAAAAGCATTTCTACTTCACAAGAATATTAACTAAACCAGTGATAACAAATTTTCATAGGCCTTTGTCTCCTCAAACTGTTACTGCTTACCCAATGTGTATTGACTGATGTTTCCTAATGGAAAACATTCACTCTGTGCTGAACCTTACATATGCTCATCACTGTAGGTTTTGTAAAGTCATGCATACTCTAACATGGGTGCATAAACTTAGCAGTGTCTTATTTTGAACACGAAATTATTGTTTGACTATTTACAGATTCCTGGAGAATATTTGGCCTATTTTGTACTGAACTATAACTAGATAAGCAAAAGCAATTTAGATAAAATTATTGATTTTTTTTATGACCTAGATTTACAAAAATTCTATCAAGCTTTGAAGGCAACAAATAGAGAAGAGTACTTTTTAACCTCCCAAATGTCCTTAAACCACTAGGCAACAGTTCTCATGATCTATTTCTTAATTGAAACAGACCAAAGGACAGAGTCTTTGAAGAATCTCATTAACTTAAATCCCAGTGTCCGCCTTAACTACCCATTTGACTGGAAATCAAAGTAAATAAAATAAAATCATAGATCGCACATAACCTACAAAACTTTTACAAGGATAAATATACAATACCATTTACAAGGCTAGAACAGACCAGCAAGTACAAAAACTTCAAAGGCATTTCATGAGCACTGCTTCTCAGCGTGATATGCAACTCATTTTACTGAACAAAAATTACGAAAAATCTTAAAAATCAGTATGTGTCCATTAAATACGTGGAGACTTTTATGGCAAAATTTCCTTATCTTTTTCAGTTTTATTTTCAGTGTTCAATATATAGAATCATAGAATTGCTCAGGTTGGAAAAGATGTTAAAGATCATTAAGTCCAACTGCAACCTAACCATACTAGCCTAACTCTTACAACCCTCTGCTAAATCACGTCCCTGAGCACCACATCCAAACGGTTTTCAAACACATCCAGGGACGTAGTTGGTACTTCAGATGAAAGCAGAATAAAAAAAGAAATCCTATAGCTAGATATTAAGTGCCTGTGAAAGAGAAATATACAGACAAGCTTAATATTCCCTCATCTCTAATCATATAAAGTGGACAAAATGTATCAATATTTGAAAATCAATCTTAATGAAAAAAAATCTGTCACGATTAAATTTATTTTACTTTAAGTGCTTTATTGATGAACCAAATAATAATCTGCTGCATATATGCCATAAACATACACAACTACTGAAACTTAAATTCCTGGGGGGGAACGCCAAAAAAATTTAGTTTCAGTATTTTGCTTATTGGTTGTTACTGTTGTTACCCTGTTCTTGCCCCTGCCCTGCAATTCTCAAAGTACTGATAAAGAAAAGACTGTAAATATAGTTTGCTTAAAGCTGTCTTTTCATTAACTTTGGGAATTAATGCATTCATTATGAGAATTATCCCAAACCCACTTAACATCACTGGGAAGATATCACATTTGTGCATTTAGTTCTTCCCACAACAAAAGGATGAAGAAATACGATAGTGTACAAGAAATACAGTTCATACTCTGTCTGGGAGAAGCCTTCTCCACCTATGTTTCCTACACAAGTTTACCAGGGATGATTAAACCACACTGTGTGCATGCTTCCCACATGTGACAGGAGCTGTATCAATTTCCCTTTCTGCAAAAGCCAGAGACAGCTAGCAGAAGACTTGAAAGCCCAATTCGGATTTCCAATCTCAATAGGAAATAGAATATTAGTTCAACATTAAGCCAGGCACTAATGTCTGCTATAAAAAAAAAACAACAATCCCACACTAAGCAAAGAAAGTAAGCTGCATAGCTTTTCCGTATTGTAGTAGATTGTACAGTAAGTCTGAAAAAACCTGGCACAGAGAGTAAAGTGATGAACAGAATTTCAAATAAGAATGTCAGAGTACATTTTACACGCAAAGCATAGCAATAATCTCTTAAAGAACATTATTTCCTTGCATTCCATTGGTTATTTCCTTTTCCAAAGGAATTAATTAGTAGACATTTTCCTTCATCATGTTCTGTAAGTGGCAAGGCTAACCAAGTATTAAAGATCATTATATTTTAAATAAATTATATAAATCATTTCACAATTAAGAGTATTCACAATTGATTGTTAATTTAATTGATACAGTATTCACCGACCTTTTGGTCCAAAACTGTATTATCTCTTTTCAACTCTATAACCATATATAGAATTATATTATCTGAGTTTTTAAAACAAATCATAGCACAAAATCATCCTAATTTTATAACAGACAAAGGATGACAAACAAGGAGAATACTATAATCCCCTCCCCTCCTTTTTGCCCAAAAAATAACAAATTTCAGACAGTCCTTAAAGTTCTGAAACACTCGGTAATATACACAGCTAAAAAATACCTCTTGAAAAAAGTTCAGTGTGTAGGCAGAGCTCTTACACAGTGCCTTGTAGTGCATGTTTTGCTTCCAAGGAAATTATTGACTGTGACAGCTGCAAGGCAGTAGAAGGAAAATTAAAAATAAAAATTGAAGAAAAAGTAGTGAAGCAAATCCATCCGGCAATCTGACACCGCATTTAAGATAATGCCCAAGGGAAAGAGGATAAAGTCCTGTTTGCTGACAACACAAATACTCTACCTGCTAAGCTCTAAAAGAAAATGACTTCAATTTAATCTTGTCAATTGAGGTCAATCTTTGATGTAACCTTAACTCAGTGAGTTCTGAGTGTGCACGGTATTACATGCCAAGAAGATATTAGTCTAATAAATAACAAAACAATTATCTAGGTTAGGAGCACATCCTGGCTTTGCTGTGACTTGGCCAACAGATGAGCTTACACTGACTGTATGCACGGACTTGTGTGGTGAGCAGTGAACTGAAGAAAAAGCTTTCGAAGAAAATTTCATTCACATAATATAGCACACACATCTCAAGCTCTGAATATGAACACACATATATTCAAACTTGCACTTAAGCAGGCACACTGGATTCTGTTGTTCTGTTTATTTTTATAAGCACTGTCCTTGACAGCATCGTCATCACTCTGAATGTTTTGTCAAACATTTTAAAATCCACTGATAGAGTAATTGAACAAGACTTAGATCAAGGCCGTAAAATTAGGGAGAACTGGGAATTTCAGTTCCCATGTGCCACTTTCGTTTACCATTCATTTACCCTTGCGAAGAAAGTCTCCTCATGCAAGCCAATCTGCACTGATCACTAGTGCTCACCAGTGCTCAAAGCAAGCATCTGGATCACTCTTCCTTAGCAAAGGGCTGGGTATGTTTGAGAGACATCACAAAGAATCATATTGCTGACACAGACAGCAGAACGCTGGCTGCTCTGATATAGTGAAATAATAATAGGAGGCAGACACCTGGGGGACTGTTAGGAGGTCAATCAGAAAATCATTTTACAGGTTCATTCAGAATTACTGGAAAACGCAAGCTTTGTTTTAAATCACCATGTGACAGCCACAATACAAAGATATGTGCAGTCTGTTTTCTGAGGATAGCTGTCACAAACTCAGGATAAGGATGATAAAAATTAACTCCTGCAAAAGCTATCAGAAGCGGAAGTGCAAGAGTTTCAGCAAGCAAACAGAACCTCAGGGTTAGGCTGCAGGGAAGAATTGATCACTAAAGCAAAAGCAAACTTGGCAGTTGCTTCAGTTTAGCCACTTAGGTCAGCCTAATAACTAAATAAGCGCCTTGATTGTAATGGATATTTTGCTGAGACAATACATCAGTAATTTAAGTATAATACCAAAAAAACAATATATTGTCATGCATAAATGTAGATCTGTACAAACTTTTAAAAGACTGACGTTCCCTACTTCCAATTATGTTTATCTTATTGTAAATCCATACCTCATGATGCTTGTGTTATTAATTGAACACTTTTTAAGATTGTACAGAGGATATATTTCTTCAAATGTAAATCTTTACTGTTTCATTTAAAAGACACATTATGATGCAAATTGCCTTTGTGAATCAGAGACTACCTGGCACATAATAATAAACACTTTTCAGATGGTTCTCTTTCTAACAGCAAAATGAATTTGCTTTTATTGGTATGAAACAATGCACTTTACAATTTTAGATTGATGTATTTTTTCCTATAATACAGAAATTATTATTGCAAGACAGCATAAAATCCTCTGTTCACAGAGCAGGGAGGAAGATTTGAGAATGCTATGAGAAATGATTTGCACCGATGGTTCAGAACTATAGCAATATTGCAGTTACGCTAATAATTTTTAACTATGCAAGAATCCTTTTTACAACATTTCTGCAAACATATCATTCAGGTAAAGGCAAAGATGGAGGTCTCTAGAAGATACTAAATCAAGGAACAGTTACGGCATTTGTGTGAGACTCAAATAGCAGAGAAAGTGAAAAAGGAACAAATGTCAAGGAAACTGAAGAAGAAAATTGGCATTAAATGGCACAGACATTTGAATATCTATGAGACTTTCAACACAACAGGTACTATCATAAATTGAAAGGAAGAAAGATTCCTTTTCTCAAGACTGACAAGCAGAAGCTCTCTCTGAAAGCACAGATATGCAAAAACAAAAATACAAAATGAAGTGAGTC